CCCCAAAACCCCAAAACCCCAAAACCCCAAAACCCCAAAACCCCTTTTATGTACTAGTGCATTGAAATTATTTAAATCAAAATCACTTCTATATTTTGTACTCAGAACTTATGACTTTTATTTGAAGTGAGTCGTTCGTTCCCAAAAGTATCTGAGCAATTTGTTTGGCCTTCTTGTAGTGATTCATTCAAATAAATTGCTGGGCCATCTCCTCCACTTCCCATAGCAAAGTAGTCCATGCCTCCTACTCATATTTGCTCTAATTTCTCTTCTTCTTCCTTGCTGTCTTTGCTGTCCTTACTTTCTTCAGGATCTGAAGTGGCTTTCTTGATTTTAGAGCTTTTATCTAAACATTAACAATACTTGCTACCTTCATTAAATGAAAATAAAAAGCATTCTGAAGATCCATAAAACTTTGTAACACTCTTGTAGATAACGTTATCGATGAATCCTCCGAAGATGTCTCCTTCAACAGTCTTGATGATAAGGAATACGAATTTGACTGACATAGCTTTATGGTAAGCATTTCATTTCGCATAGAGAGTAGATAAACTGAATCCATCATTATTTCCAGAGTAAATTTGATCAGGGACCCTAATCTGTCAGTATTCGGGAAGCATCATCCATAGCCTGTAAAATTGTTTCAAGCTAAGAATCTCACTCGGTCATTCTTTTACATTAGGGAGGAAGTCACTAACTATTTTATACTCTTCTCTTTCTTCTTGAAGAATTACCTCATCAGTCTTAGTGATATCGTAATGGTTATGCGTCAGTTTATATTTAAAGGCTCTCTCATGAAGATAATCCCATTCTGTTTTATCTTTGGCAAACTTTAAGAATTGATCTTTAAACTTTGTAGGGTCCACTATATCCTTGATTCTCTTATTTATGAACTTTTAAAGTGGCGTATGCAAATCTAAACAAGACTTTAATACCCTCAAGGTAATAGAAGGTAAAGATATCGATGACGTAGTCTATCTTGAGATAACTTTGGAAGAAGTATTTGAACATCTCATCAAGAAGTTCATTTAAGTCATATCCTATTGATTGGAGGTGGATTAATATTGACCGTTTCTTAAATTTTGTTGTAGCAATATAGCTCATAATGAAAGCACTTAGTGTGTGGAAATAGTCAGTTTTGGTAAACGAAAAGTACCATCTCATCATCTTTTTAGATTTAGATTTTCCAATTAATTTGGAAGACTCTTCCATCATTTTCTGGACAACTCAATAAGCTTCTTCAACTGGTAAATATATTAAAAGGATCGAGATGGTATTTATTAGAATTGGAGAGTACTCGATAAACTTTTGCTTGTGTAGAAGATGGACAATAATTTCAAGATTTCTTTCTCCAGCTTCATTCAGACAATGATTCACTAGAAAAGGTTGAGAAGGCTTATCTTCTTGCAGGATTTCTATTTCTTCTTCATTTGTTCCATCATAAGCTGCTTTATAAGCTACCTGTCATTTCAAAGGTTCAAGGTCGAAATGCATCAAGAATAATTTTCTTCTTATGGAGTCTGGAACTCCTCTTCTACAAAACTCTTTATTTATTTAATATATCTCCGAATGTTGCCTTCTTACTACTCCAAAGTTCTTCAAGGAGCTTCTGCCCTCCCACATACATTGCAAGATCAGATATATTGGTTTGGAGTTTGTCTACATTGCAACTTTTACTAATGGTAAATGCTTCTGTTTTGAAATATTCATCAATCTCTTGATGTGTTGCCGGAACTATTTCTTTATTTCCCATTTTTATTAATAAGATTTTTAGATTTTCAATAAATAATCTATCTACTGGGGTTTTGGGGTTTTGGGGTTTTGGGGTTTTGGGGTTTTGGGGTTTTGGGG